CACCATTGCTTCAGAAACTGTCATGGCAATAGGGTTATGATCCTTTTTCTGTTTCTTCTGAGGACAAGTGGCTTTGTTATGACCTTTTTGACCGCACTTGTAACATGGGCCAGTTTGATGCTCATGATGTTGTTTTTGCCATTATTGTTGTTTCTTCCATCCTTTCTGAAATCCCTTCTTTCATTTTTTCTTGAAAGAAGTAGTCTTTTTCTTGTTGAATGGTGTGTGGGTATTATTCTGTGGTTGTGGTGAAGATTGTGCCATCAACAAGTTGGAAGACAATCCTTCTTTACGCTTTCGCTTCATTCTTTCTTCTTCCAAAACTAAGAGTACAGGCAATGTTACCATTGAAATCTCTCGTCCGCTATGAGTTAGATATGTGATAACATGATCCCAAGACAATGGAAGACTATTATGTATGGTAGTTACTTGCATCTTGTTCGACAAAGAGTGACCAGCGTTGGATAATTCTTTAACAATTAATTCCATTTGATTAACATGATCACCAAAACTATCATTATCACTCATATGAGTGTTATTATATTTGTCCAAGAGCAATTGAATTTGAGTATCCGATCGAACTCCATACTTACTTTCTAGTGCTTCCATCAATTGTCTTGCAGTTTCATGTTCTTCAAAAAGCGGAATAATGTTATATTTCATATTATGTAACATAGTTGCCCTTGCCATTGCATCATTTTCTATCCATTTATTTTGGAACCAATTAGAATCATCATCTGGTTTAGAAGTGGATAAAGTGTGCAATGTTTTTTCATGTGTAAGAAGATAAGAAATGTGGCGTTTCTATGCTCAGAAATTATTTCCATTAAGCATCTCGATTCTTGAAGAATCCACGGTATTTTTAATAGCCATATTAAAAACAAAATGTCTTACTATGAAAATTCAAATGTGAATATTACAATACTAAAATAAAAAATAAAAAAAAGCAAAATTAAAGACAACAACAGGTCTTAATAAGGATAAGCCTTGTAGTTGTTGAATCGACCCTTATGATGAAGATATTGCTGTGAAGGAATAGAACGATTCTATTGACTTGGGTAAGAAGAATGATGAAAACCCAATGGCCTTTTAAACCCAATTCTTTGCTTATGAGTATTGTAAAAATAATTACGAGCCCAAGGTACACAATGGTGCTTATTAAAAATTGTTTATTTGAATGTTTTCCTGGGTAACACCCTTGGATAGCCTGTTCGTCGAATTTTTTCTTTTGAAAATGCAGTACTAGTACTCACAGAAAAATTCTTAGATAAATTCTGGAAATTATGGCTTTTGAATGACCGAAAACGGCCTTGAAATGAGTGAAAACGAGTCGAAAAACCCCTTGAACCAAGCTGCTGCCGGTTCAAAGTTTGGACTGAACCGGCTTGAATTGGATTGGGTGGAACCGGTTTGGACCGCTGGTTAATGCATGGATCAACGCGCAGATCAGTACGCGGGTCGTGCGGAGCAGACGGACACGGGTCCGGGCACAGAGGGTTGACGCGCGGATCTAGGCGCGAGACGTTGGGCCGTGACTTTGGGCGGCTTGGCTGTGTTGCTGGGCTCGCCGGTCCAAGTGGCTTTGGGCTGCTGGGCTCCGCCTTGCTGACTTGGGCCAATTACTGGGTTGGCCTAAAAAATTTCTTTTTAATTCTAAGGCCCAAAGGAATTGATTTCCTTGCTGTGTGCTTTATTTTGGGCCCTTTTTTAAATTTTAAATTCGCCCCAAAACTCTTAGTTTGCAAAGCAAAGTCTTCGCACTGTGTATTTCGGCGGTCTTCTCCGGTGATGGGAGTCGGCGACCATACACTGAAATCTGAACTTTGTGGATCAAATTTTTGCCGTTTTTCACAACGAATATTACTGTTGTGATCAAAATTCTAATAAGAACAAGATGGTGCCAATTTGGAGACGCAATTTGCACAGTAAAATATTTTATAAAATTGCTTCCGATGGTGTAATTCGGACTCACTTTCGGCAAGGTTTGGAGCAATAGCACCACCAATAGTTATTTTCTTCGGATAGAAATCTCGCTCGAGCGAATAAGCACTGCCCTCAGGTCTATACCAGACGTAGTCGCTCGCTCGAGCGAAGCAAATCTGGATCGAGCCAGAGAACACAAAACAAACCTCGCTCGAGCGACCAAATCCTGGCTCGAGCGACCAACCCAAAAACTGGACAGCAACACTTGGTTTACAAACCCAACCAACCTGAAACAAACCTGCCCAACACATCCTATAACTCCAAATAAGACAATAAAGGACGACAACAACAAATATACAATGACAGAATAAACGGAACCCAAGTCCGAATACAATAATCAAATGGGAAAAGACCGGGGTCGCTATAGTGTTGAACCTATGTATTGTCCATATATTTATAGCATATGGTGGTTGTTAATCAATGGTTACAACTTATTGAAATCAAACTCAATGGTCACCATGTTTCCAAACATTGTGACTCTTTATTCAAAGTTCAAACTCCCTACTTCCAGTTACTTTTTCTTGCGGGAAGATTGAATCACCATATAAAGCTTGGATTTGGTGTGAGAGGGTCCACCATATTATGGTGTGATCACCTCTCATACTTTCAGATTGCACTATCTCAACTCAAGTAAGCCTCAGATGAGAAAGACCACTATTTACTCTCTCGTTTTTAGCCAAAAGAGTATTCTAAATTTTCAAAATGTTTTTGTAAAGGTTAGAGAGACCTTCTCAAGAATTTCATCAAGGCCAAATTACATTAATGGTTTCTATAGTTTGGGATTTGTATCACTTTAATCTCTAACTTTTTAATTGTAACACATTTGATTCTAAATTTTGAATCATATTTTAAATAAGAACAATTGAAGATATTATTACTCAATTTTAAGGGCAAAGTCGTCAATTTGATAAAATAAACTAATTCGACAAAAATAAATGTCAAAAAAATATTTTTAAATTTTTAAAAATTATTTTTACCCATAAAATTATGTAAAATTGATAAATCTCTTGCATATTTATTTATTTATGTTTTCAACCAATTAATTTTTATTATGTATTTAGATGATGATCATGTAATGGGTGGTCGCTACAGCAAATTTGAGTTTTAAAGACAAATTTTTAGGAACAAAAATAATTTGTCTAGAAAAATCATATTTTTAAGGACAAATGAAGCAATTTAAAAAAATACACAGTTAATCATATTATTATCTTTTTAAAACAAGTCTATTTGATTGAAAAAATGTCATACACTTTTCTCTACCATTTTAATAGGTCCCAAGATACTCAAATCATACTTTATTTTATTTTATTAGCTCCGCTACGTACTTCGAAAGTTTCTGGCTTAAGTGACTCGAATTTGATTTTCTATCTGCTGTGTGCGTCTGCTCCAATACAATAATGATAGAAACCCACACAAAACACAACCTCGAAAATGATCTAAACCATTCATGTTACTGTTAAACACAACTTTTAAAAAAAATTTAAACATATCAATAATTAATACATCAACAAGTGTCATGGGATCCTCTTTTATGGGTCCCAAGCATTTTTCGCTCCCATAATGCTTGGTGCCTCCTCTTTTATGGGTCCCAAACATTTTCTGCTCCCATAATGCTCGGTGCCTCGACAATTAGAGGCTTGAATGCCTCGAATCATTGTCTCTCTTCGTGGCCACACCCTCTCTCTCTCTCTCTCTCTCTCTCTCTCTCACTCTCCTATTCAAACCCCAAACCCAAGCAGCTCAGGCTCTCTCTTCTCTTATCCCTCTCGTCCTCTCGTTCGCTCTCAACGCTCTTATCCTGTCATCCCTCTCGTCGCTGCGCCATTCTCTCTATCGTCTTCATCAAACTGCCGGAGCCCTCATCACCACATCGTCGTCATCAAATCACTGGAGCTGTCGTTGGTGCCTTGGACTCTCATCACCTACCAGAAAAACATCTCTCTCTCTCTGGTAAGTCCCAACATCGCAGTACCTAGGGTTTGGATTTTGGGTTTGTAAATTAGAAATTGGGGCTTTTTATATCAGTTTAGATTTGAATCTATAAATCAGAAATTGAATTTGAATTTGTATCTCAGTTTATATTAGTTTGGATTTGAATTTGTGAATTAGAAATTGGGGCTTTTGAATTTGTACATCGCGAATATGTGTTAATTGAGAAAAAAAAATAGATTTAATTGTGTGAAGATTGTGTTAATTGACAAAAACTGCATTTATTGAGATTTAATGGTCAGCTAAGTTGCTGCTATAATGGATGGATGTATTGTAACTTGGCTTAACCTGAGTTTTTTTGTCTTAATTTCCTCTTAATTTTTTTGGCTGAACCTGAACCATTTAAGGAGTGTTGAAATCTTACCTAAGAATGTTATCCTATGCCTCTCTCTCTTCACTTTTGGTCTTAAGATGTTCATCCCTTTACTTCGATTTGAGTTCGAAAAATGCTTAATGAATGTAGCTTCAACCCTGTCCATAAGCTTATTCACCTGTAATTTCCCGAATTGAATCATCAGATTTTTCAATGTTTTCTTTTCTTTTCCAGAGCACCTAAGAAAGCTACTATGTTTTATATTATAGCTTGAAAGGACTATTTCTTGAATCATATTAGTGCCCATGTACTGACCTCATCAGAGCTGCCATGGTAGGAGTTGTCTACCATTTTCAAGTAAGCTTTTGATGCATTTCTTGAAGTTTCTGCAACAATTAGGTATAAACAAAAACTTTAGTAAAAATAATTATTCAGATTGTTGAGATAGAAAGAGAATTCAAAGTTTTGAGATAGAAAAATACCTTATCATAGTTCTTCATGATCTTTGAAAATGCCAACATATTCAAGAAGCTGTTCATTTATTAGCAAAAAGATCAAACACAGTTCTATGCAAAAATCTAACTGAATTTTTCAAACCTGGAAGGCTAGGGTCACATTTCTACCTGTTGCTCTGAAACTAGGGTCACATTTCTATTAATTTCTAGGAAAATTGAATAATAAAACCTGGAAGGCTCACATTCATTAGTACCCTATGAAAGCAATTCAATCCAAACTCATCCACATACAAAACAAAATAAATAGGGTAGGTATTCATGAAATTTCCCAAAACCTAACTCAGTCATTTACATCATTAGGTACAAAAAGATACAAAATACAAAACAAATTTTTGATTACATCCATGAAACAAACAAACTCAGTCATTTACATGATAAACTGCAAAAACAAACAAAACACAATGACATAAATCATTGCCTTAAAGTTCTTCTCCATCCTTTGAAGCCTTCTACCTAACTCAGTCCTTAGATCGTTTAATTTTTCTTTTGTTCTTATAGCTTTCCGAAGTCCAACATTGGAACGAATTGTGGAGCTAGTGTCGTCATCATCCTCATCTGCGAATTTGAAGTAATTACAGTGTTCCTTATGACTCTACAATGCATCAGAATTAGTTAATCAAATCACAGAAATGACTTTGTAAATAGTAAAAGATCAATTTCTATAATAGATACTTACATATTTCGATAAGCAAACAAAGAACAAACGTCATTTGAAGTAATTTCGATGAGTAAAGTCAGGACCAAGTAAAAAAAAACCTAAAAAAAATACTATGAAAGCTTCAGGTTTGCTATAGCTTCAGGTTTGCAACAAAAGCTAAACCAAGTCAAACACCAACTACGAATACTATGAAAGCTTCACCTCAATTTGTTAGTGATTATTAGCAAGTTGATTGGAGTAAAATCAAGACCAACTACATAATCAACTTGTGGGTTAGCATGACAAACATGATCAACTTTTGCAGCTTATTACTTCGGCTGGACAATGATAAAAGGACACAACTGCAAACCAACTTCAGAAGCCAAAAATTCAAAAAGTAGGTGGTACTAAAGAACATAAATGAACCGACCACATGAAAAACAATACATAAATTTTGTTATTGCACTCAACAATGATACATGAAAAGAATAAAAAAAAATTCAAAGAATTGCTTCACATCTCTATCAACAACAAACCAGACTCCTCTTAATCTATACAAATTAATTTAGCCAGCAACTGCTAGTGTTCTTAGTGAAAAGGGAGAGACATAATTATCAAATAATTATTTTTAATCTACCACAGATTATTTTTAAATATTAACACAATAATATTTATCAAATTTATCATTTATTTATAATTATTTGGGAAAATTAGTCTAAGGTCCCTCTCCCATTTTTAGTAATGAAAGAGATCCACAATAGTATTTTATGATGTGTAAGGTCTCTCAATCCGACACTCATATATGACAGAAATTTAAGTCTCTCAAATCAAATCTCATTTCTCTCTCACACAAAGACACTGTAAGCACTCTCTCTCTCTCTCTTGATGATCTTCGATTTTGGGTTGAGTGAGAAACAAACCTGCAAAGCTTTCAGAGACATTAGAAGAACAAAACAGAGAGAGACCCAGTATGTGATTGAAAACCAGAGTGATTGAGGCATCGTTTGGGAACAGGCTAATTTAGTAAATTTTTGGCTATTTGACTAAAAGGTAGGTAAAAAAAACTTGTATGTTTGGGATGATTTTTTGGCTAATTACGAAAAGATGTGCAAAAAGTAGAGAGAAAAGAGAATCTTTGACTTTTTGGTATGAGTTGTTGGTTTTTTGGCTAATTTAGTAACTTTTTGGCTAATTGGCTAAAAAAGTAAGTCCCCAAATGGGGATATATGAAATTTGATCGTAAATAGACATAGTCTAGACAAGAGAAGCATGTTGAAAGAAGAACCAAAAAAGTCACCGGCATGAAGATGAGGAGAAAGAGTAAAGCTTCGATTGGGCATGTCTCTCATGGAGGACTGAGATGATTTCTTGTAGTGGAGATGGGTAAACAAAATTGGTTCTCACCTTGACTCCATGTATCACTTGAGCTGCGTAATCGTAAGTGCACGCTGCCTCCTCTGTTGTGTCAAAGGTACTGGATTTAGTCGAGCACAATTTGTTGCTATTGTGATTGTGTCAATTGGTACCTGATATAGTGATCTAGTTGACGCAAGCAGTAACTATCAACGAAGACATATTTTAAAATCCAAGGCTGAAATATTGAGTGGCCATATGAACCGCATTATGTCTATGCTACTTGTTGGGGCATTTATTCTTCAATATCCTTGCTATATTTGATGGAAGCCTTTCAACTTATCTGAATTTGTTATCTTTTTGTTGCTTCACTGCAGTATGTGAGCATGCTTATTCCTTGTCTCAAAATTTGGATCCTAATAGTGAGGAAAAGGTGTTTTACAGTTCAAGACTGGTTTGATGTCTGTTATAAAGGTAACTCTTAACTTGCTGAGATGATTGAATATGTTGCATCACGTGACAAAAAACAAGAGCAGCATACTGGCATGTGCATTTCTATGTACGTCTTACAAGATATGTGATCTATAACACTCTTATAAACATCGACAATTGGTGCTTGAGTCATTTGTTTACAAAGGTGTTGGTGCAAATATGTGAATTTCAATTTGGAGACTTCAGATTTTTCTCATTTTTGGTATGCATTGACATTTAGCATGTGGTATGAGAGTTTTGTAATATGGCATTATTTTTTTGAATATTGCAGTTTGGACTTCAATCCTTTTAGATATCTGGTGCACTTAAATTTTGTTATATTAATATTTACTTTTATAATTAATGTAAACTACTCCTTTGGCTTTACTGGTGTGAATTGCAATTCTACTTTTCTTCGAGATATCTGTTTGTCTATAACATATTTTTGGATGTATTCACAACAAATTTTCCAGCAAAAGCTTGTAAAGAGTGAGGGTGGAACCATAGACAGAAGCCAAGATATTGCTCGATTACAGGAGTTTTATAAGCATTATAGGGAGAAGCATAATGTAGACAAATTACAAGAAGAGGAAATGCAGTTGAGGGAGTCAGGTGTTTTCAGTGGCAACCATACAGAGAAAATTTTGATCCAGAGAAAATACTCTCAACCACATTAACAAACAACATTGAACCCAGTACCAAAACATCAGAGAAATTCTCTAGTCTTTTCAGAATTTTCTCTGGATATGGAATTTGTGTGATTTTTCTCTAGATTTCTAGTTTTGTATTACAGTTTTGTTGTGTGCTATTGTTGTTATTGAAGGAGCTTGAATTCAATTGTAGTGGTTGTATTGAAATGGATTCAATGTGGGTTTTAAATGGATTTTCTCTGGTTCGGTAAAAAATACAGAGAAAATTTTGATCCAGAGAAAATTCTCTCAACCACATTAATAAACAACATTGAACCCAGTAGCAAAACATCAGAGAAATTCTCTAGTCTTTCTAGAATTTCTTTGGATCAAAATTTTCTCTAGATGTGGAATTTGTGTGAATTTTCTCTGGATTTCTAGTTTTGTATTACAGTTTTGTTGTGTGCCGTTGTTGCTATTAAAGAAGCTTGAATTGAATTACAGTGGTTGTATTGAAATGATTTAATATAGGTTTTAAAGGGATTTTCTCCGGTTCGGTAAAAAATACAAAGGAAATTCTGATCGAGAGAAACAGAAACAAGATGTTTACCACACAACAAAACTGTAATACAAAACCAAAACTAATTTCTCTGATGTTTGACAACAAGATAAACCCTAAATGCCAGAGCCACCAAAAATAATTTGACAGCTATAGGCACAATATTGTTGAATAGTCTGGAAATCCAGAGAAATTCTCTGGATCAAATTTTCTTTGGAAATCCTATTCTTTGTTTTTTCCTCCTTTTGAATTATGTTAGTTATTTACCATGTGTTTGTATTTAGTATGTACATGTATTCACTTTGGAAAGACTTTGTAATTTTTGGGCTGGTGTTTATCGTCTTCCTAAGAATCTACAAATTTGGTGTAGCTTGTATTGTTTTTTTTTCCAAGACCTCCTCCCCTGTAGAGAAATTTCAATTTTCTCTACAGAGAAATTCTGGAGAGAAACAGAGAATTTCTCTGAGTTGGAGAGAATTTCTCTGGACAGGATTTCTCTGGACCAGAATTTCTCTAGATCAAATTGAGAGACCTTAGACATTATGAAAATATTAGATATCCTTTTTATTATAAAGTCTTAATACTAGGGACTCTAAAAAAAAACCCCTAATTATTTTCAAATGCTTGGATTTATAGTTTAATGCTTAAATGAAAAATATTTACAAAAATTAACTAATTTCTCAGATAGAAATGTAGATAAGATTGCAAATATTTCCAATGGTTCTGGTTACACCCTTCATCAACCGGACTAGCGATTTTCTTGCGAAGGGATTCAATGGTATAAATCGAGACATAGAACCCGACTTCGAAATTGGTCATTGTAAGGTATTTATGGAATCGACTAATTTGTGCAACAATAGTCACAATCGACTAATTTCTACAAACATTGAAGCTAAAACATAAACCCTAGATTTGGGATTTTAGGTTTACCTTAGATTCCGAGTCTTCTCGTACGTTTACCTCAGATTCCTTGTCGTTCGCCGTCGTTCGTCCTCCTTTGTCATCGATTAGAGAGCGATTAGAGGTGAGAGGGATGAGAGAGATGACAGAGCTCTGGGATGAGAGATCTGCTGAGCAGAGATAAGAGTGAACGGAGAGGATGAGAGTTGCTGCTGTTTCAATAGGTTTTGGCTTCGAATAGAGTTAAAAAGAAAACATAGAGATGAGAGATATTTGACTCAATTTTGACTTAGGCCTCGTTTGGAAACAGGTTAATTTAGTAATTTTTTGGCTGTTTAGCTAAAATATGAACAAAAAAAATAATATGTTTAGGATAATTTTTTAATTTTTTACAAAAAGATGTATAAAAAGTAAAGAAAAAAGAAAATTTTTAATTTTTTAATATAAATTATTAATTTTTTAACTAATTTAATAATTTTTTAACTAAAAAAGAAGGTTCCAAACGAGGCCTTAGTTTCGGGCCACGAGCTAGAGACTTTCAAGCCACGAAGCTTTTCTCTTATTTTATACATCAAAAATGCTTTAGAGCTCTAATATAGGAGCTTTAATAGCTCTAATGGGAATGTGAGACCTTTCTAATGTGATGTTTATGCCTTACCTTGTTTTTTTTTTTTATTACTTAAACACATCACTAGAGCTCAAATGAGAGCTCTAGATTTAGATATCTCTAGCATCTCCCTTTATACCTTCATCATTTGAACTCAAACAGTGGGAATTTAAAATAATAAATTGCTCTCTCTCTCTCTCTCTCTCAAATCCCTAATCTGCAATAGCCTTTCTTTCTCTCTCGCGAATGCACTGGATTTCTTTCTATCTCGCAAATCGATTTGTTGATTGCTTTGGAGATTCAATCCTTTGTTGATTGCTTTCTTTCTATCTCGCGAATGCACTGGATTTGTTGATTTCTTTCTTTCTATCTCGGAATGCACTGGATTTCTTTGTTGATTGCTTCTGAGATTCAATCCTTAATCTGATCTCGACGACAATTTCATCTATCGACAGCGATTTCAGTATCCAGGTTTGATCGATTAATCGATTTCAGTCTCATAGATTTGGTTTTCGATCTGTGATTTTCTTGATCTTATTGAGTGTAGTCGTTCATTTTTTTTGGTTCATGGATTTATTTGTTAAATAGTTATATTTTTGTCAACATCTGGAAAGGATTTCTGTAAAGTGAAGTTGCAAATTTACCTAATCCTAATGATCTAGGCTAAGTTTATTTGCTTGATGTTGATTTCTATGAAATTTAATGCAAAGTTTGAACCAAAACTATACTTATCGATGTTGACTTGGTAGTTGAGGTGGATTGTCCTCGAAAAAATGCAGCATAATGTCGTTTAGTTATGTCAACTTGTTGAGAAACTCTGTTTGCATATAAGAATAGGACCTATTCTTTTTCTGATTTGAAGGAACATTTAGAGATTTATATATAACATATTCACATGTACAGGCTTTGGTGCCAGGGTAGTGGCGGTTAAAAAATTACAGAGATTAGTGGTAGTCAGATTATATATATTTGTTTGCATTGTTTCCATGACCAACTACAGCAGGGAAATTTATGAAGCACTTGTGTGGTAGGCTAATCAACACTTCTGCTTTTAGCATATGTCCAAGTGCTTTATATATATATATATATATTTTAAATCACACTTTATTCCATTTTGGTTTATGCATACATTTCATTCTTTCTTCTTTGACTTCTTCCTATTCTTATATATTTATATATAGTGATTGATTAGGCTTAGATTTGGTGATTGACCCTCATTTACCAGGTCTAAAAGCATCCACAGTGATTAATTACTGCATTAGAGCTGTTACCGAATAAGTTTGCAGATAAAGAAATAGACAGATTTTAAGGATTTTGTTCAAGAGTGATTTTTATTAGAGTGATAAGGTGAGACTTTGAGAGTTGGAAAATAAAATGATTATTGTACCTTCAACTTTGATAGAATTAAATATCAATCATTTAAAAAATCACAAAATAGGATAGAACCTTTATTCTACTACCGCACTAACAGAGTTTGTGCTGCTTACTATCTGCTCCCTTAGCATGATTCGTTGCCTCTCTTTAATGGCATCGTATGACCGTAAACTTTTGGAGACATTCAACCCAAAATCAATTGACAATAGATGGAGATGTATTTAGACAACAAGAGAAACAATCGTGAGGTGGAGATTTGGTTTGTGAGACCACCTAACAATGAGCTCTCATAACATGTTAAAAAATTTGGATACATTCATCCAAAGTTTGAACTCTTCTAATGTAGGCGTGCTTCATTGGAGTGACAAAACTTCATCATAATGTCCACTTTGATAAATATCTCATTCTGATAATTACCTTTAACACGAGAGTATTTTTATATAATTATGGTTATGGGCCCTCCTCTGTAATCAAGCTATGAAACCTTTGTTTTATTTTATTTATTTACTTTTACATCTACTAATCTCTAGTGTTTCTTGTGTGATTAGGAGTTTGTTTAGGGTGTACTATATATGCACACTTTTTATCTTTTTATGTTTTTTGGGTCACATCACCTTTCTATTTTTCTACACATAGTTTCGTAAAAAGTTTAAAGGTGTACAGATTTTGGTTGGTTTGTGTCACTAGAAAAGAGAAGTTAGGATTATGTCCTTGAATTGAGACTACATTATGAATAATGAGGAGGGATAATTCTGAGTAATCCTTTCATTTTTGCTTATATCTTAAAACTTGTACCTCATTGACATTGGCTGTACCCTATTCTTGATCTTCCTTCATATCACAGGATACAATCTATAACAGTACTATACTGAGCAAAACTCATACCACGAAGGAGTCAAAAACAAACTATATTTGCTCTTACCTCCTGCATTATGTTGAGATGCATGTCAGATTCATGTTGAACTGGAGGCCTGCACTTCTTGTGTTCTACCAAGGAGCCTAACACTCCTTTGGGTGGTGTTTTTTTTCATTTTTTTTATATGATTTATGGGGTAATCATCTGATCCTAGATCCATGGTTTTTCTTACCTGGACAGGTTTGATTAGAATTTAGATTTGCTGTTTGCAGCAAAATGGATTGGATTCTAACCCAACATCTGTGACTGTTATTTCATCTGTTTATGCTCTCTTGTGTAGCCTGCTATATAGCCTGTTCTTGTTTTAGTTGAGTTTTCTTTGAGAGCAACCTATACTTTTGATATCTCATTGTGCTCTAAGTTCCGATATTTATAAATTATTATCAAAGATTTTTGGTTTGATCACACCATTTTCTGCACTAAACTGATTATTGTTTTATTTCAACCAACTGAGCGCATCACCATTTTGTCCACGTACTATTATGGTGAGAATCGAATAGCCTCACTGTTTTCTAGTACTATGCAGTTTTGTATTCTTATTATAGCACATCATATAGAATGAAAGAACATGACATTAGTTGTATACCTTTGGCATTAAGACATAAGACACTTTTAACACATAGCATTCTGTAAATGCATATTGCCTGTTTCATTATTGCTTAATTGCTCCATACAAATGATCTCCTTAATTTGAATCTCGGTTGTTAAATCTATCCTGTTATTTCTTAAATTGTTATATGAGTTGAGTCAGTCTTAAGAAATTGCTTTTGAACCGATTGGGTTTGGTCCTCACTCATTACAAGTGCTCTGAATTCGGTGATACTTAAATTCGTTGGTACTTAATAATGAATACACACCGAATAGACCTGAGCGCTTTTTATATTTGAAAACAAAAGGATCAATACACACCGAATGGACCTGAGCATCCTTTATATTTGGAAGCAAAGGAGATTATTATACAAAGAGACCTCTAATTTTTTGTACCAGCATGAGATTTGAGATGAACATTGTTTTAAAAAAATGGTCAATGGACATGACCCTCTTCTTAGGATGTCAAACAACAATAATATAAAATGACTTGGAAAAATTATTCTGTTTTACAATCAATAGACGATTGATTATGATCTTCATTCTTCACAATTCACATGATTTTAGCACCATCTTTCTCTGAGACCAATTTTCTTAATCGGTTCAGTAATAACTCAGTCATTTTGGCTTCTGAGGAGGCTGAGCCGAACATGGCAATTTTCGACACTGAACCTTGTACCCTTGTGGCCAATGATGTTTGCTGCTCGGAGGACTGCGTAACAATCTTTGTCTTCTTCCCTTTCACACTTCAACCATGCATAAGCTGCCACCATTACAAATTCCTAGGCATTAGAACTGGTCTTTATACTAGATAAGCTTGTTTTTTGAAAAATGTTTTTAGCCGAAACAAACAGAGTGTCAATGTTAATTCTTTATTATCTATTTGCATTCCAATTTCCGAGTACTTTTAGTCCAGTGGATATTATTAGGCACAGTGAGAAAGAAATATAAAAGTTCTCAAATGAGAAGATTCTGAATCATATAAATGAGAAAATCACCAGGAGAAGGTCCCCTGACTTGTTGGAAAAAAAATGCAGAATTGAGGTGGAATTTCTTGAATTACCTTTCTTTGTTATTTTTTTTGTTATCAATAAATATCCATATATCGTCATGAAGTAGTTAGATTTGGTGGAGAGCTATATTCATCTTGGCAATTGTGATCTTGGCTATATTCAAGGAATCCATATTTTTTATTTTATAAATCTTTATTCTTAATCTTTTAGCTTGGGGATGTTTTTCTTTTTAAATTTCTTCACTGCTCTCTCCTCTTTTTTTTGGGAGTGGGGGTTTGAGGAAGCATTATGTTTTCAATGTTTTTTGTTATCATGTCCTGCAAGTTTGGTCTAAGATCTCAGTTTTATACATGTCCTGTAAGCTTGCGTCGATTTGAAGCTTGGTAGCTCTCTGCTAGATTTTGAATGCCATTTCAACGAAGTCCTTGAGAAAAAGATGCGATGAGTTGTTTTGTTATGTAGGTAGATATAATTCCAATTACAATCTGCTCATTGAATAGTTGAATGCTGCAAACAATGCTTGTGGCACTAGCCTTATAAATTAGATTAATTGCTACAAAATCAAAAAGCAAAAAAAAAAAAAAAAAGATTATCAAACTTTTAGAGACTAATTTTAGTTGTCTCAAATAAAATTTAACCTTTACACACCACATTCAATTGCTTGCAAAACTAAAACTTTTAACCACCACTTTCATTTGTCCTAAAGACAAACTTTTAGCCGCCACTCTCATTTGTCCCAAAAAACTAAAACTTTTAGATACCACTTTCATTTGTCCCAAAAATTAAAACTTTTGGACACCAATTTGTGTTGTCACTATAATTAGACTTTTAGAGACAAATTTTGGTTGTTTCAAAATCAAAACTTTTTTGCAACCACATATTTTTGTCTCTAAAAGTCTATTTATGGTGACTAATGCAAAATTTTGTCTCTAAAAGTCATTTTTTGGCTTTTCCGGACGGGCCATTGGGGACAAACTTCGCGACGGAAGAAATTAGTTGGCTAAAGTTTTTCCCAACAAATATTACACTTTGAGGAACGGAATAAATTTATCCCTAAAAAGTTAATTTCTTGTAGTGGGTTATTTTTATTTCAATTAAATTAGTTTTTATTTTTTCAAAAGTCAAATATGGCGATAATTTTGATATCATTATTAAATCAATCCATTAAATTAAAAAATTCAAAACTAAAAACATTTCATATATTAAATATATCAATTACACATTAACAGTCCAACAATAACTCATTACATGATTATCATCTAAATACATAATAAAAATTAATTTGGTAAAATAAATAAATAAATGTGTAAAAGATTTATCAGTTTTACATAATTTTATCTTTGGTGGGTATAAATAATTTTTAAAAATTCAAAAATATTTTTTTTTGATATTTTTGTTAAATTAGTTTATATTTATCAAATTGACAATTTTGTCCTTGAAATTTAACAATGGTTTTCAATTATCTTTATTTGAAATAAGATTCAAATTCAAAGTAAAATGTGTCACAATTGAAAAGTCAGGGACTAAATTGACATGTGCCCCAAACTATAGAGACTGTTAGTGTAATTTGCCTTTTCATCAATTTGTTACTTTGTGCTTTCTAAAATGTTGATCTATCTCAAAAGAAACAAGTGCAGATAGTTGGAATGAGTGAAAAGATGAGAAAACCTTCTAGAAATGTTGTCGTTTTATCTACTTCAAGAAAACCTTCTAGGAATGCTTTCGTTTGTTTTTAGTGCTTTTTTTTTTTTTTTTTCCTTTCATATTTTAGTTTATTTTTTTGTTTTTTAACTTTTTAGTTGCATCTAATCTTTTAGTGAATTTTTCTTCATATTCTTGTTTGAGGTAAGGGTTTTCTACTATTTATTTAATATGAGTTATGGGATATATGTGTGATAATTTACATAAGAAAATTGTAATTTTTTTCTTCCCAAGAGAATAGCATGTACAAGTCAAGAAAGAATAGAAAAGAATTGAACCTTGACGGTCCAATGTGGTTCAAATTGGCTAAGAATGGTTTGTTAGGGATGTTTTGATAGCCTAAAGTAAATCTTAGTGGATTTAAGTTGGCAAATCAAAAGTTCCTAATCACTCTTGAGTTCATCATAGGGTAGCATTTTCCAAGTAGGGCCAACAATTATGGACGGTGAAAATGGGTGTTTACATCTATTTATCCTCCCCTTCCAGTGACCCTTTTCATGGCAAACGTCACTCCACCATTCTCTATCTGTTGTCCTCTCTCATTCATAGTCGTGGAAGAGCTTGTTGGCCGATGTTAAGGGTTAACGAGAAGGGCTAGGAAATTATAGAGGTGAGAAGAAAAGATATTGATTGGGGGTGGTAAGAAGAACCCCCAGAAGGTGTGGTTTGAGATGGGAATGGAGTGGTTGTAATGACCTAAGGTAATGGTGATGGTTAGTAGAATGAGAATGGAGTGATGGTGGGGTTCGAGTTTAGAAAATTAGGGTTGGAGATGTTAGGGATGGGGTAAAATGAAATTTTATGTTAAGAGTAAACCTGAAAAAAAAAAAAGAAAAAAAAAGGCAATTCTATTTACAAACCACAAATTACCTCAATACACAACACAATTTTGATTTTTGCTCAATGTACACCATCAATTTCAAATATCCAAAATATCCATATTTTTTCAAATTCCAACCCTAACCTTAACCCTAACTTCACCACTACTGCCATTGTCGCCATGTCAAAAATTGTTACTGTCGCCTCTCTTAATCCCCTTTGGCCGCTGCGCCCTCTTGTCAATTCCATCTACTTCCACAACAACTTCATTTCTATACTCTTCCCCGTTGTAACTGCTACAAGCTCCACCCTCGTTGCCCCTCTTCAATCCTTTGGCGCTGCTTATCTGTAACTATCTTCTCTTTTCTTCCCCTCTATTTCCACCCCCAACTTTCTCTTCTTCTTCTTTGTCTCTTCAAACCTTAGATATGGGTTTTCTTCTCTTCAAACCTTATATTTGGGTTTTCTCTCTGTCTCTTTCTCTTGTACGGGTGGGCGATAGTTGGATCACACAGTAGAGGAACTGGGTTGCAATGTGAGAGGGGAGGTCTAAATGATAGGTCCAGGTTTCAATTCGAATCAACCCTTAAAACCAGACTCTTCTAATAACTGATCTTTTTTTTTTTAATAAAAAAACCCACTTAAATGTGTGGTTGAACAAGGCACAATTCACATCAATCGGCACTAGGTTGATACATCTCATGCTTCGCTAAAAAATGTTGTTGCCGAGGATTGAACATGAGATTCAAACACAGTAGATAACCTCCTACTACCAAGGCAACTAATCTTAAGTCGTAATTGGAGACATTATTTACATCATTGTTTTTATGTTATTAACATTTTAAATCTTGAATTAAAATTAAATTGATAACACAAGTGTTTTTTTTAAAATTTTAATAGCTATATTTTATTTACGCATAATTATTTATATTTTTTTAACGTAATTATGAGATCATAATATAATTTCTTTTAACACAACAGCTGAACCACTGACCCTTGACCCGGTTCTTTTTCTAGTTTGCTTAATGGTAAAACATTGGTTGGTAGTCTTGGAAACGTAGTTGGTTAGGGGTTACGGGGGTTGCAGTAGGGAATTTGAGGCAAGGAAAGGGATCACTAGGGGTGGAACTGTGACCATATTGGTCATAGGTCCTTGTAGACATCCCATTTTGATTGGCGTGCTCTTTTCCGAACATCCGATGATGAAAGTAAAGATGTGCTAATCTTGCGAATTCTTCAGCAAGAAGTTCGAACTCAGGCTTTAATTCCAATCTTACACTTGTTTTGGCCAAATTATATTTTTCACAATACATTTAGTTGCGCAGTTCCAAATATTTCTATAAGTCCCGAGGCTTGCCTTTTGAATCCATAAACATTGTCTTTTTGAGTAGATCGAGCGAAAGATATAGTAGGAATGAATAGAAATTGTGAAATTTTCTGAAATACTTGTTTCTTCTTTCAAATCATGTACCCTATTGATCTAATGGTATATTTTTCATCTGGCCATACAACAACTCATGATCGGATGAAAAATATAGTCGGCTGGATGAATGATAGTATGGCATGCTGAAATGTTCGGGTACAAAGCATTTTCGATAATTTTGACTCTTTTTTTGTGTGAATTTTCTACAAATATCTTAGATATTTTGACTCCTCAAGTCTACAAATACATGACCAAACTTCTTTCTCAAGGGTTACAAAATTTTCAAAGGTCAAGAGACTTGTTTTTGAGAGCTCATCACCCTACCTCTCCTCTAACCTCTAGTTTTCAAACACCATTACAGCTTAACTTTAAGCTTCTTGCTGAAGATCCTAAGCCACACTAAGAGATCTTGAGGGTGCTAAGAAAGGGGTTTGACAACCAAGAATTTTGAACGTTTTTCATCTTCTCTCTTTCTTTCCTTATCTATAAGCTCTATATTTCATTTGTTAACTTGTTGTAAATCATGTGGTGAGTACTCATGAATGTGGGGAGAACTAGGATATAGTCACCCATACATTGAGTTGATTGTCTCCTTTATTTTCTTGTACTTTTGCGTGCTTGTCCTTGATTTGTAGGATTTAACCCATTGTTGTTGTATATAGATATGTAAAGTGAAACCTTGTGGATGTGGTCAGGAGTTAGAAAGTAGCCACCCATCCACAAGTTTGATTATGTAGTGTAATTTCTTTCTTTTTCACTCACTTTCTTACCATTTGCCTATTCATCCACGCATGTTGATTCATATGCTTCAATTCCAATAAGTAGTTGTGGTTGTGGCATGGAGCTAGTTGGGTGAGTCTTAGGATTTAGTGTTGGGAGAGTCGTGGACTTTCATTTTGTTCTTTTGGAAGTAAAGTAAGAGGCTTTTGGTCAAAAATGTTAAGAACTCTCTTCTCAATCTATCTTGAACATGGAAAGGGATGGAAACATCCTTATTCCATGGGTAGAAGTGGAGTTTTTAACATTCTTTGATGAATCTCTTACTTTCAAAACAAGGCTTTCACCAAGAAATAATGGACATTAACCTACTCTCTCCTATAAATAGCATGAATTTGGGTATTAATGTGCCCCTATTCACAAAGAGATGATTGTGGGTTTCCATTCATTTCTTGGGTTTGAATTTCTTCCAACCTCAGTTTTTTATTTCATTCGATGAATTGTTGTAAATATCATGTTATTAGTGGCTTTTTGTGTTGCTAATTATGGGTTAGGCCCCTTTACCTCTTTCTTGAGTGTATTTGTAAGAGGAAGAGGTAGAAAAGATGAGAATCCTTTTAGAAGTTGTTGTTCTGTTTTAGCTCTATTGCACAAAACAAATTTTCCCTCAAATTATTTATCTGGCCGGCAGAGAAACCATCCGGCCAACAAAACTTTCATTCGGTTGACTTATATTTCTCTAAGCAGAACCAAGCAGAACAGAGCAGCTTCTGAAGGATGATCTCTTAGAGTATGAGGCTGTTGTTTATAATTTATTTGCTTTTATCCCGTGATTTGTTAGATTCAACTTAATTTGGCTGAGTCAATTCATTGTTATAATAACTTCCAATCCCACGTCTTCTATTTATTTATCTGTTGTAATAACTCCCAACTCCACGTCTTC